GAGTCGTTGCTTTAAAGCAGTGACTTAATCTTGAGTCTTTGCTTCAAAGCAGTGACTTAATCCTGAGTCGTTGCTTTAAAGCAGTGACTTAATCTTGAGTCTTCGCTTCAAAGCAGTGACTTGATCTTGAGTCGTAGCTTTGAAGCAATGACTTAATCTTGAGTGTTTGCTTCAAAGCATTGACTTAATCTTGAGTCTTCGCTTCAAAGCAGTGACTTAATCTTGAGTCGTAGCTTTGAAGCAGTGACTAAATCTTGAGTGTTTGTTCAAAGTATTGATTTGATCATAAGTCATCGCTTTATTGTTTTGTTGTCGCTTTGAAGCATTACCTTAATGTTAAGTAATCGCTTTGCCACCTTAAAATTTCTCGAAAATCAAGTTGTCATCCCTGTATCAATAATTTCCCAAAACAACCAATAAGGATCTCCTCAATTAACCTTAAATTGCATCTCAATCCTCATCAAAAAATCCATTCAATAGGTTCAACATAAAAAAAGCCTTGCTTAATATCCACATTAAGAGCAGACACAGGAAATGTCTAAATTTTTGTCTTCAACCTCTCTTTTTGTTAATTTCATATTCCACCCCTAAAAACCATGAAATTTATTCTTATTCAGTTCATCCTTTCCTTTATAAAATATGAATTTCTCCTCCTTCTCGATGTTCTTGTTGTTGTTGAGTTTCTTTTGTGTGATATTTTTTGAGATTTGTTGTTTGTTTGTTTGTTTGCTGTATTTGTGATATTAATATATTTTTGATGAATTTTACGTTCTTTAGTTTTTTATTTTGTATAAGGTTTGCATTATTTTGTGTAGTTGGAACTGAAAAAAGGAATAAATGCTAATGAAAATTGTAATTTTATGAGTATCTAAAAGCAAAAACTTGAGAATTCTGAGGTTATGTTTTCAGTTTTGAGGTTAGATTTGGTTAATTTTGAGGTTGGGTTGGGCTGGTTTTGAGTTTAGGTTTTGTATCTTTGAGGTAATGTTTATCTTACTTTGAGGTTAGATTTGGAAAATTTTGAGGTTAGGTTTGGAAAATTTTGAGGTTAGGTTTTGAAAGCTTTGAGGTTAGGTTTAGCTTACTTTGAGGTTAGGTTCGGAAAATTTTGAGGTTAGGTTTGGTTAACTTTAAGGTTCGGCTTGGCTAGTTTTGAGGCTAGGTTTTGATAGCTTTGAGGTTAAATTTAGCTTATTTTGAGGTTAGGTTCGGAAAATTTTGAGGTTAGGTTTGGTTAACTTTAAGGTTCGGCTTGGCTTACGTTGAGGTTATGTTTGGCTAGTTTTGAGGTTAGGTTTTGATAGCTTTGAGGTTAGGTTTTGATAGCTTTGAGGTTTAGTTTTTATAGCTTTGAGGTTAGGTTCAACTTGTTTTGAGGTTAGGTTTTGATAGCTTTGAGGTTTGGCTTGGTTAACTTTGGGGTTAAGTTTGGCTAGTTTTGAGGTTAAGTTTGGCTAGTTTTGAGGTTAGCTTTTGATAGTTTTGAGGCTAAATTAGAAAAAAAATTCATTCATTTTAAAAAAAATTTCCATCAACACGGCATCAAAAATTCAATATCAAACCCAAAAATATTAACCTTATGTCATACTTATGATCGAACGTAAAACGAAAATTACAAAAGAAATGAGATTCTTTAGACAACAACACCAACAAAAGCATAAAGACAGCCAATTTCATTTCTTACCTAATCTATAATTACCTGTTTGCTGTTCCATCTTCTTCTCATCTCATTTTTTTTTTGCTAAACATTTTCATTCTATTCTTTCACTCAATTTCAAGTACAAGACCCAAAGATGCTCAAAATTCAAGAAAACAAAAAAAATAATTTGAAATAGGTTGAAATTGATAAAATGGGATGGGAAGCTAATAAACTGTTCCTCATATAAAGACATGAAATGTGATGCGCATAAATTGTTGTTGGATTCTTTTGTTGTTGCCTTTTTTGTGTGTGTAGTTTGAGATGAATTAGAATTTATTCAATAGGATGAGGAGGATGGAGGAATGGATCTTGAGTTGCACTACAAACTGACTTCAGCCTTCGTCTCCAGCATCGCTTATGACTTAATGTTGTCTATCTTTAAGCTTTCTACTTCAAAATCCTCAAAAAAATCAATCAAATCCCCGTTATCATGAACTTTAAGCCCCACTTAATGATGATTTAATGACTGCAAATTTTTTTTAATAATTTTTTTCACATTTATTTTCAATTCTTCACAAAAAGGCATCATTTAAAGAGTCGTAAACAGTTAGAATCAAAATATATTGTTGGTATTTTAAAAGATAATAAATAGCTTAAGATGAGCATCTAATAGCGGTTAATAGCCTCTCATAAAGTACCGATTCTGCTAAATAACTTTTTAATTTCTCCGATTTCTTTCACTTTTGAGTAGATTTTATTTTAAAATTCACTGTTTGTGATGTAATTTGGAATTTAAGGTAGATAAATTTGCAGGTTATGTGACTGGATGAGTTGATTGTGATTCAGGAGTTTTTGGGAAAACGATTTAATTTGAACTTCAAAAAACCTTTAAAAATTTGAATTTTTGAAAACCGTTAAAAAAATTTGAATTTTTGAAAACCATTAAAAATTTGAATTTTTGAAAACCATTAAAAATTTGAATTTTTGAAAACCGGTAAAAATTTGAATTTTTGAAAACCGTTCAAAATTTGAATTTTTGAAAACCATTAAAAAGTTGAATTTTTGAAAACCGTTAAAAAATTTGAATTTTCGAAAAACTATAAAAATTTGAATTTTTGAAAACCAATAAAAATTTGAATTTTTGAAAACCAATAAAAATTTGAATTTTTGAAAACCGTTAGAAATTTGAATTTTTGAAAACTGTTATAAATTTGAATTTTTGAAAATCGTTCGAAATTTGAATTTTTTAAAACCATTAAAAAGTTGAATTTTTGAAAACCATTGAAAAATTTGAATTTTCGAAACCCGTTAAAAAATTTGAATTTTTGAAAACCGTTAAAAATATTTGAACTATAACCAACTTAAAGTTTCTTTTTGAACAATCTAAAATTAAAACTTAACAAAATGCCATCTAGCCACCAGAAAATAACAGAACCTAGTCATCAAAAACATGCCTTAAAGCTACAAAAAGAACCAAAAATATTTTCCCAACACCTTTAATTTTGCACAATGCTTTGCCAATACCAAATCAGTCAGATGTTCCTCAAATCTTCATCTCAAATATAAATTCGATGTCAATCATAATCACAGTCATCAACGCTAGTTAGAACATCCAAACAATCATTTCTAATTTCTTCTGTGTTTCTTGTTGAACTTCACGAGGCAGAACATGAGAAATTTTCCACAAAACCGAGCACCATCTGTGGCTTAATGTCAAGATACAAACATACACACGCATCGCATCAGGTATTTTTGGAGAATATTCATCGCATGTTGTTCTTTTCTATTTGATTAGAATTTTTAGCACGTCCATCAATGTTTTTTATGGCCAAGTTATATAATTGAAAAAAAAATATTTTTTGGTGAGAAAAAGAAAATTAATTAAAATTTAAATTTTTTCGCTTTTAGAATTTTATTTTTCAAATAATAAAAGTTTAAGAAAATAAATTAAAAAAAATTATTTTCAAGTCACGCAATGCCTTTTTTTTGGTTACTTAGGCTTGGCAGTTTGAGAGGGAAAATTGAAACTTTTTAATGGTAAGCTGTGGTCGGTCATGAATAAATTATGGATTGCGTTGCTGTTGAATTTTTGGGAGATGTCAATCAGGGGTATCAATCAATCAATTTTTGGTAGCCAGGGGGGGGGGGGGGGATTTGGGGGACAATTTCTTTATTTTGCTAAAGTTTTTATGAAAAAATCACAAAAATCACCCCTGAATTTTTGGTCTCCCCTCTTCAAATTTCTGGCAACGTCTCTGGTACTTTTTGATCTCGCTGAGGCTTAAAACTTTTAACCGGGGTGAAGGGGTTTCAGACCCTTCTGACTACGCCCCAATTGTGAATTAAACAAAAATCATGTTCAACCTTTTAGGTCATTTACTTATGACGTCCGTCAAAAACACGAGGAAGACCGAAGATCTCGTGGATTGGATGTTTTAAAATGGACGCTAGAGTCCTTCCTATCACGAATTGGCAGAAGGTTTTGAAGCTGTCATTAGACAGTGCCGCAATGAGCCCACGTGCGCCCAAGCCAAGAAAGTAATGTAAGAAAATAAGTAAGTCTGTCAAAAAATATTATTTCTAAAACCGTCCCCGTCCCCTTAAATCTTGGATGTCTTAAGAATCGAGATTAACCTAAGACGGTTCCCAGTCAGTTGAAAACAGCACTAAATTTTAATCTCAAGGGCTGTTCAGTTATTGAGGAACGCAAAAACGATTTTTTTACCCCCCCTTCCCCCTTCCCCCTTCCCCCTTCCCCCTTCCCCCTTCCCCCTTCCCCCTTCCCCCTTCCCCCTTCCCCCTTCCCCCTTCCCCCTTCCCCCTTCCCCCTTACCCCTTCCCACTTCCCCCTTCCCCCTTCCCCCTTCCCCCTTCCCCCTTCCCCCTTCCCCCTTCCCCCTTCCCCCTTCCCCCTTCCCCCTTCCCCCTTCCCCTTCCCCCTTCCCCCTTCCCCCTTCCCCCTTCCCCCTTCCCCCTTCCCCCTTCCCCCTTCCCCCTTCTTCCTTCACACTTTCCCATTCCCCCTCCCCCCTTCCCCTTCCCCCTTCCCCCTTCCCCCTTCCCCCTTCCCCCTTCCCTCTTCCCCCTTCCCCCTTTTCCCTTCTCCTTTCTCCCTTCTTCCTTCTCCCTTCTCCCTTTCCCATTCTCAACTCCCCCCTCCTCTCATCCTTCCTTCCCCCCTTATAACAAAATTTGTACGAAGAAGACCCCAAACCCCCGAAAAAACGTTACGTAGTAAGTGAACAGCCCCTTATCTTATAATGCAGATAAGCATGAGCTTCCAATTGGTGCCTGATATCTTATCATTTTATTATTGCTGCAGTTGTATTCCTGATAAGATTACAACATAGTCAGTTGTGTGCTGCACTTTGAGCTGATAAAATGTTTCTGAGTTGAGTGATTTATTGACAATTTTGAAGGTATGCAATTGGACCTCTAAGCTTGACTTTTTTAGGGTTTTCAGAGATCTCTGACATTTCAAGTCTACTGCTTAATGATTATTAATAAAGTTTTAAATTTTCATACTTAGCAAATCAATCTGAAATCAAAAATGGAACTGCATTGCATTTTCTACAGCCAAAAGTTTGACGCCGGCTACAATTGTTATCGCTGTCTTATCACAAATCGGGAAATACCATTAAACAAAGAACTAAACCTTATCGGACGGCATGAAGGCAATAAAACCAATGATAATGTCACTCACCTGGAATTTAGCAACTGCAGAATTAGAAAAATTCCTCAAAAATTGACAAAAATATTTCCAAATTTGAAGGTTTTGAAGATAATAAATTCAGAATTAAGGGAAATTTGTAAGGCTGACTTGGCTGAATACAAAAATATTGAAAGATTAATTTTCGATTTTAATGAAATTGAATTTTTGCCTGGAAACTTATTTGAAGACTTTCAAAATTTGGAATTGATTTCATTTCGAGGAAATGAGCTGAAAATAATTGAACCGAATATTTTGGACAGTCTGGATGGTCTGCAGCATGTTAACTTTGCCGAAAATCCAAATTACAGCAAATGTCACTCAATATTGTCTTGTAAGGACTCAAATGCTGAGATTGAGGATGTTAAAGTTCAAATTATTGAGAAATTCTTCATTTTAAATTCAGAAATTGTTCAAAACTTTGTTAAACATTTAAAAAATCCGCTAGAAGTGCTGAAAAAGTACGAGAATATGTCAATTAAAATTGAAGTAAAGCTGAAAATTGTGGAATTAAGATTGAAGATTTTTGAGGAATTTTCAAAAAGGAAAATTGAGAATTTAAAAAATTCAGAATTAAATTTGAACCAAGAAATCAAAAATTTTGTAAATTTCGAATCAAAACTAATCCGAGAAATTAATCAGCTAAGGAACTTTGAAGGAAAGCTGACTCAAGAGATTCAGGAGCTCAAAAATATGAATTCAGGTCAAACTTTCATTAGACAGCAATCTGAACCAACTTATGGCAATTCATTTAACATTCCATTAGCTGCTTTAAGACAAGAGCTTCAAAGCTGGAGAGATCTAGCTAAAAAACTGAACCAGGACGTCCAAAAGTTGAGAAATTCTGAAGCAAAATTGAGTTTGGAGGTTCAGAATTTAAAAATAAGCTTGCAGATTGAAAATCTTAAGAAGTCAGATTTGATAAAAGAGACAGAAGCTTCAGACATGTCCACAAATTCAGCAGAAGCTACAGACATGTCCACAAATTTAGCAGCAACTCAAAAACTGTCTAGAAACCAAGAAAATGAACCAAATATTGAAGAAAAAAATAAGAATTCTAACCTTAATAGAAATCCCAAGAATATGCTTCATGAACCAGCATTTGCTAGCGTAACTGATGTCAAATGTGAACAAAATGACTCAAATTCCAACAATTCTACATCCAATAATCATCACTCATTTATAATTGACATCAAAAAGTACATCCAAGAAGACATAACAAAAGATTTCATCATCAAAATTGACGAACAAGAATTTTTAGTCCACAAATTCCTTCTTGCAGCTCGCAGTGCAACCTTAGCTGACATTTTAAACAAAAATCCATTCATTGACAGCCTCAGCATAGCCAACATTTCAATTGACAGCTTTCACCACATTTTGAGATTCATTTACACTGATGAGCTTCCAGTTGAGGATGAGATCAACTTTGTGGACCTTTTTGACGCTGCTGGACGACTAAAGATTGAGGATTTGAAGAATTTCGCTGGTAAAAGAGTTTTGGAGAAAGTTAATGCAGCAAATGCAATTGAGATTTTTAACTTAAGTAGTAAATATGAACATAAAATGTTAAGGCAAAAGTCATTTGAGGAAATAAAGAAAAATTTTGAGGATAAATGAAATTTTTTGGTGGTTTTTCACTTTATTAAGTTTTAAGCTCACAATCATTATGATATATCTCAAGTTTGAGGTCCTACAATCAGGTTAAATGCTAAATCTAGTAAAATAGAACATGCAGACGAGCTTAGACGGCAAATAAAGTCAATACAAAGCGTCAAAGCAACAAAATATCGATTTTTTGAAGATTTTCTGGTCAAAAAGCGGGAAATGTCGCGATTTCAGCTCTGAAAAAGCGGTTCAGACCAAATTTTCTTTTATTTTCCAGGAAGTAAAGGTTCAAAAAAGAGGGTCATGACTAGGATGACCAGATATTTTTTTAAAAATAGAGGACATCCAACGTGTTTATCAATTTTATTCGTATTTTTAAAAAATGAAAAATTTACAAGACTGTCCTCTGAAAAACCAAGCAGATGGTCAGTCTAGACATTAATGGCTTTGAAAGGACTTTGCTCAAATCAGTGGCCTAAATGGTAGAGCATTGGCCATACTTGCCAAAGGTTCTGGGTTTAATCCTAGGTCACGTCTAATTTTCGAAGCTCTTTTTCCATTTCACCGTTCTAGTTACGAAGCTCGGTTCGTGTCTTGTGTGTAGTACTGATGTATTTGGCACAGAATGTGCCTCTTTTGCTAGATAAACATGGATATACTAGCATCTGAATGACTTGCTAGCGATCTTGCACACGCGAATTGTGACTAGGTACATTGCAGGGTACATCAGGTCTTATGACGTACTCGTGTCTTTGCAATGTGCAGAGCTTGCAAGTGGATCACATCCCACTATAAACTGTAGGTCTAAAGGGTATGGTACAATAGATTATGTTCTAATTTGAGTGGCAGTGCCTCGAGCTGAAAAGCTGGGCCCTGCACACATTACTAATTGCTCAAAAAAGCTAGCCAGTCCAGCTCAAGGGTGCCCAGTTGTGCAGCTTATTAATCGACAGCAAACACTAGCAGCATTACATCATCGCAATTCCACAGCAGTAGCCAAAAAACAGCACCAATTTATGAATGAATCAACAAAAAAATCATCAATCGACTGGAAATTACGAGTCTTGCTCAAATAACAGGAAGATAATTATCTTCAAAATTTCAATGATTTATTTAGTTTTTGTTGATTTGAAGACAAACGAGAGAGAAAAAATTCAATTTTTGATATTAAGCAGTCAAAATAAGTTTAAAAGATCATTAATTTATAAAAACACACAAAAGGATTGGATGAGGAAATGTTGAGACTCTTGTGGAGATAATTAATTGTTCAATAATTGGCACTAAATGGAGGTTTTTTATCATTGATTTGAGATTTGAGTGATTTAAGTGATTTATTTGATGTTTGAGATTATCTAATGGAGATGATTGTGACTTCCATCAAACGGAACTGATTTCTTTAAAGGTTTATGACCAAAAAAATCAATTTATAGTCACCTTAAGATTCAATCCTGATCCCGAATCGCACAAGTGGACACGAAACTATTGAATGGTGCCAGATTTATTTTTATTCCGTTGTCACACTGGATAGTTGCTGGGGTTCTGATCAATTAGCCGACTTGTGTTACTTGGGTCCATAAAAACTCATTCCATATGCTGCAGTGAGTCCTAAAATATCTTAAGTTCTGGTTGCAGATGAATTTACGAAGCCTGAATTTCCTAAGAAGCTAATATCTAGTTGCCTATAGATTGAAAGAGTTACTCAATGGTGTGATTTACACTTAATGCTAGCCTAAGCTATCATCAAGGGCAATTGCCCATTCAAGAATATATCAAACAACTAGTCTTAATCCTCCAAAGCAAATCAATATCCAAAAAATTCCATTCAATTCCTTCCACAAAATTCTCAACATTGGCTATGCTCTGCTATGCCATTAAACAGTGTGCAAATGACGTGATGATGAATAATTTCAACTGAATTTTTTGTTTTATTATTATTTTCATATGTCTGTATTTGAATCAGCGATCAAGCATATAATTTGTGAGATTTATGAGAATTTTAATGCCTTGCAAATTTATTTCTTTTTTGTTTTATGAGAACACATTCTTATGATTCACACTTTGATGTTGTTTGGATGTTGTTTTGTGTTTTGAATGATCTAAACCCAGTGGTGGTCAACCTTTTTTTGTGCAAATGCACACTTGGTCGTAAGCCATGTCCAACACCGCACATACAGTTTGTGGGATTTTCTGATTTTTTCTTAGCACACAAGTGTGCCGTGGCACATGGGTTAGCCATTATTGATCTAAACCAGTCATGGTTAACCCGTTGGCAGTGAAAAAATTCGGGATAACTTAGGAGGCCGTTCACTTATGATGTCCAGTAGGGGGGGATACCTGGAACTCCATCGTTCTTTTTCGAAAAATGACAGTTAATATCGGACGTACAAGTGAACGACCCCTAAGCTTACGGCTTACTACCAAGATGTGCCGTTGAACAAAAAAAGGTTGCGCACCACTGTTCTAAACCTATAATTTGTGAATAAAGTAAAATAAAAAAAAATATTGATACTCTTTGGCGGGGTTTTTTCTGTTTGAGATCTTTTTGAACTTTTTTGCTGATACATGTGTGGAACTTTTGAGGGTACTGGTAAGTATTTAGTGCAAAATTATTTTTTTAAACTTTATTGGGTCTGAAATTCAAAAAAGAGACTGTGAATCACTTTGTGACACTAGAAATGGTTTAATTCGTAATTATTGTCAATTTTTAGCTATATTTTCAAATAAAACTTACTAAATAATTTTAAAAAAATACAGAATTTTTGGTAAAACTAGCCAATTGTCATCGTTCATGCTTATTTTGGCCTATTTTAATATTGTTCGTAAGAAGATTCTTCACAATCCAATCTGATGCACACGTCTGAATCAAACCTTACCGTCTAGATCATCCACAAAATCCAAAACAATATCAGGAAGTCCCCCAAAAAAGCTCAACCTGAATCGATGCGCAGAACAATCTTTGCAATGTCCCAAAAAAGCCAGCAAAGATCGAGAAAAACAATAATTTTTCATTAAAGGCACAAAAAAATGTGACATGTTGTCGACTTCCTCGTTCATTTTAGTCACATGTAGCTGGTTTAGATGCAGCACTAATACAGCGTGAATAACATGTGAATTGAAATGTTTTGTCGGTCAAATTAATTGGATATAAAAAAAACACAAGGTTTAGGAAGTGGGCAAGTGATACAGCCAGATTTGGGCGACATTTGAGGAAGAAGATGGATCACAATTGATCTGTGGGGTCATTCAAGTAAGTAAGCAAAGAAGCTTTTGTGGTTTGAGATCTCGACCAGCACTTGTGGTTCATACAAATTTAACTTTCTGAACATACTTTTGGTGGCTGTTCCTGAATTTAATTTTAAAAAAAATCCCATTCCACTTTCCACATTCTCTCTCATTACACTTACAGATTGATTCCATATTCAGCATTACCAAATCAATTGAAAATTGAAAAAACATAAAAAAATAAAAACAATCCTCAAAAATTACCCATTTCAGTTCACAGTAAATCGCTTACATTCTCGATGATAAGGTTATCGCTTGAGATTTTTTCCGTAATCAAATAAATAAGTGTTCGGTCCCATTAGCGCAGTGGATAGCGCGCTGGACTTCTAATCCAGAGGCCCTGGGTTCGATCCCCAGATGGGATGGTTAACAGTCTTCTTTTTTGCACTTTTTTGGTGGGTTTTGGGGGAAAAGTTGTGAATTTTTGAGGGATTTTAATTAAAATTGTCTTAATTGATGGATTTTTGAGGTTATTTTAGGATTCTAAGTTAAAAGAAAATTCAGAAAAATTTATTTTCTACCTGAATGTTCAAAATCTTTGGAACTGATCCTTCCCAGCCCTCAAAAAGACTTCAAATCTGCAAAATCTACCTGACCATACTCAAAATTCAATCAAAATTCCATCAATATTTTTCATCAAGTCCATCAAAATTCTCAATTAAATCAAAATAATCTTCGACACTATTCAAACTCGGCACATATGAATAAAAACAAGCAGCAACAGTTAATTGACGGATAATAAATGAGAATAACAATATTCTTCAATTAATTAAACTATGTGAGAGACATGAAGGTCGTTGGTATTAATATGTGGCGATGATGATGAGGAAAAAAACATTTCAATGAACGGCTGAAATTGAAACTCAAACTTGTTGCGGCGGATCGAATAAATAACAAATAACCGAATAATATATTGAATATTTTTATTTCTTGCTTGATGATCCACCAAGTCACGACTTTTGTGTTCTTATTTATGATTTGTATGAGATGCTGAACGGAAAGACGTTTGAATTGAAAAGGAAGAACTTTTTTGAGGTTAGCAGGTTTTTTAAGGCAGTTTTAAGCATTAAGAGCTGAAGTATGGCTTAAGAGTGGCTAAACTTGTCGAAAATGTGTTAAAATTAACCAGCCGTTAGGGAAGGCCGAGGTAGAGAAAAATAGACCTTAATAGAAAACTGGCCGAAAGGGTAAAAACTGTTCGCAAGTGAACAAAAACTGACCGAAAGTTAATAAAAATTGACCCAAAGTCAAAATCAACTGACCGAAACTGAACAAAAACTGACCGAAAGTGAACAAAAACTGACCGAAAGTGAACAAAAACTGACCGAAAAAGAACAAAAACTGACCAAAAGTGAACGAAAATTGACCGAAAGTGAACGAAAATTGACCGAAAGCGAACAAAAACTGTCCGAAACTGAACAATAACTGACCAAAAGTGATCAAAAACTGACCGAAAGTGAACAAAAACTGACCAAAAGTGAACGAAAATTGACCGAAAGCGAACAAAAACTGTCCGAAAGTCAAAACCAACTGACCAAAAGTGAACAAAAACTGACCGAAAGTGAACAAAACCTTCGTGAACTTTGTAAAACAAAATGTTATCCAATTATGCGCTTTAACCCTCTTTTTAAATCTCAGCTGTTGCAAACTTTATGTTACTTAAAATGTATTTATTGATTTTTAAACCATCAAACGCCAGCAACAACAGTAACAAAGCACATAAAAGCCTCTTTATGAACATCAAAATACAGAATAAAAATAATAAATTCTTCCTCATAAACGAATCAGTTATTATCGTCGTGTTAAAGAGTTTCAATTACTCAAAATGATGTTTTTGAACGCGATGTTAATGTGTTGTGTTCCTACTTGAAATAAAGTTCACGAAAATGCTAACAAGAATTTTTTAGTTTAAGTATTTTGATTGAATTAAATTATAATCAAAGTTTTTAAATTTTTTTCACCTTTATTTCATTTTCTTCAGTTTTTCAAAACTATTATTAAACTTTTAAAACTTTTTTAACCTTTTTAAAATTAATTTAAATTTTAAAAGATTATTTTCAATTTTTTAAAATTTACTTCAATTTTTTGAAATCAATTTCAACTTTTTAAAATTGATTTAAATTTTTCAAAATCAATTTTAATTTTTTAAAATTATTTATAATTTTTTAAAATTAATTTCAATTTTTAAAATTAATTTCAATGTTTTAAAATTAATTTTAATTTTTTAAAATTATTTTCAATTTTTTAAAATTAATTTATTTTTTAAAATTAATTTCAATTTTTTAAAAAATAAAAAAAATCTACTCTTACCATTTTTTAAACTTTCAATATTAATTTTCAACATAACATCATCAAAATAAATAAATTGAATAAAAATTGATCTATTAAATATTTATTATTCTTTTTGATCCACAAAGAACACAATATAAGCGCCGAAATACGAGAATCAAGAAAAGGTGAAATAATAAATGATTAAATAATCAAGAAGAAGCTGAAATTCGTGCTGCAAATTGTGGCTACAAAATGTTATTATTGACCATAATGTGTTGGTAAATCTCTTTATGATCTTGTTTGATATTCGAATGTTTACAATAGCTGTGGTCGATGTTTTGGAATTTTTATTGAGATTATTGAGCCATGATTGATCTGAGAAGTGGTCCTTACTTCTTCTGAAAGGTTTGAGAGTATTTTAAATGGTTTATAGGTTAACTAAGTGGTCCTTAGACTTCCAACCTCAATTAAAAGACCACAAACCTAGTAAAATCTTTAAATTAATCTAATTCCTTAAAAGTTTATCAAAATAAAACCAAAAATTATTCCATAAATCATGTCAAAATTTAGTTTATTTCAATAGTTTCCATTTCTGGAACTTGAGTCTCCTCAGATTTCTTATTAAAGTACAATAGAAATATTAAAAAGTAAAATAATCCTTCAACTACATAAAGGACGATCACTTCAGCTCTGAATCCAAAATACCATGCAATATAGATGATACATCCGAGATTTATTATCAGGTATGGAAACATCAGCAATGACTTTTGCTAGAATAATTGAAAAGAAAGTTTCGGTTAAGTTTGTTTGAGACTCAGTCAGTTTAAGGGTTAGGAACTGATCGAAAAATCAATTGATCAATTCTGCACCTATGGTCTTGTATGGGAAGCTTGAACGACTTAAATATGAATTATTGAGCATAGTTTCAGCTTTGTGGCAGTTTGTGGTTGAGTTTTGGCACAAATCTGATCCAATACACTGATATCTTAAGTAGGTTGTCTAAATGCGCACTTTTAAGTGAACAGTCTCGTTTTTCAGACCGAAAATCGGCAAAAACCGATGGACAGCCTGCCCATGATAGTCAATTACGCTCTTTGCTATACAAGTTGATTCTAAGAACAAGGGTGCCGAACTGATCAAAAATTATCAGAATTGATCAAATTCTAATTTATCAGTTCCGCACCCTTGTTAATGAGTTGATATACTTACGTCATTAACACCAATGATGAACATGGGACCACAGATGACGTAAACAAGGCTGATGCAAAAGAAGGCAATAACTGGAATTTTAAATCAATTTAATTAGAACTTATACTTAAAAATCAAAATTTGCGTGTAAAAATGTTGAAGTCTGAGCCAGTGTTGCGATCTGTCACATGTTATTGTCTGCTGACAGGTCAGTGTTCGTGACAGTTCGGTCACCTGTGTCTAGTGATAGGCAACCTGTCTTGCAACTCTGCTCTGAGCCTCTTTTGAACTCTTAAAGATCCGTCTTATATGAAGATGCTTAGAGTTTTCAAACCAGAGATTTAGTCCATTTTAATCCCAGGCTTGAAAATCCTAAAGATGCTTATTAGCTTGATTCGTTCAAAGCTAGTGTTTTAAACCGTTTTGCCACTTAACAGAATATCTTAAAGAAGTGTTGTCTAAACTGTGTACCGCGGCACACTGGTGTGCAATAGAAATTGTTTGAAAATAACGTGAGCCTTATGCTGTGTGCGATGCTCGGCATGGCTTACCCCTTAAGGAAGCCGTGGCTCAAAAAGTTTGAAAAACACTGCCTTAAAGGCTTAACATCCAAACTACCACAACTTTATGCTTTGCCAAGCCAACAGCAACAACAAAATCTCTTTAAACCAGCTCATGCTGAACGAATTTGTCGATTCCGGAGCATGAGTAGTTGAAATTAAGCATTATTTCAGAAATGAAAAGCAACAAAATTGCAGATCAATAGCAAAGCCGTGATCGTCTAGTGGTTAGGACCCTACGTTGTGGCCGTAGTAACCCAGGTTCGAATCCTGGTCACGGCAAGATTGTTGCAAATTCTTCTTTTTTTTGGGTTGAGTTTTTTTTTGAGGATCAGTTGTGGCCAAGCGTGAGTTGTTTTGTGACTTTTTAGAATGTTTGAAATTTTCAACTTCAGGGTCATCACCCGAGGCTCCTTAAGCCCTAACCCTGATTGAGAAAATCATAAAAACTAAGTCTCAACTTACAGTGATGTTCATCCTTTAGTGACCGGTCAGTCTTGCACATTTCGATAATAATCATGACACCAGCAATGACGGCACCAATGATATGCATGAGAACGATTGCATTTAATCCAACTGATAAGTCACAACAGCCGATTTTTTTATTGAATTTTGCTACCATTTTTATTTGTTTATCAAAAGTTTTTTTTTCTTCGGTTTCACGTGCAATTTAAGTGCGAGTCTTTTTTTACGTTTTTTTCTTTTTTTCTATTTTTTTTCTTAATTTTTAAATTTCACAATTTAGGCAGTTTGATGGAATTTTATCGATTATTTTACAATTTGATCGGTGCTTCAACTAAAATTGTAGATTTTAAAAATAATTTTAAGATTTTTTGTGATTTTTTTCCAAACAAATTGATTATTTTTGCTGTTTTCGTGAATATTTACCAGCCTTTATCAGCTGAGCGTTAAGTCAAAAATACTCTTTTTTTTAGAGGAAATTCTCCCGCATGTGCTCGCATTTTGGGGGCACACTCGATCGTCACATGAATGAATGTTTACTCGAATTATTTTATTTTTTTTTATCGGATGGCTAAGAATAGAACTCGTGATGCGTTGTTGTTTGTGTACAATTGAGCAGCGAACTTGTTTGTGCGAAAAAGTATCCAATTGAAAATATTTTTTTTTCTCGGTTTTGCTATCTTTTTTTATATTATTATTATTTTTTTAAACATTTGAAATAATTGGCTGTAAATAAAAATTAACCTTCAAAATTCAAATTTAAAAAAACCGTTAAAATTTCGAATTTTCAAAAAACCTTTAAAATTTCGAATTTTCAAAAAACCTTTAAAATTTCGAATTTTCAAAAAACCGTTAAATTTGAACTTTTTAAAAACCGTTAAAATTTGAATTTTGAAAACCGGTAAAAATTTTAACTTTTCAAAATCGTTTAAATTTGAATTTTTAAAAAACCGTTACAAATTTAATTTTAAAACCCGTTAATAATTTGAATTTTGAAACCCGCGAAAAATTTAAATTTTTCAAAATCGTTTAAATTTGAATTTTTAAAAAACCGTTACAAATTTAATTTTAAAACCCGTTAGTAATTTGAATTTTAAAACCCGTTAAAAATTGAATTTTGAAACCCGTGAAAAATTTTAATTTTTCAAAATCGTTAAAATTTGAATTTTAAAACCCGTTAAAAATTGAATTTACTAAAACATTCAAAACTTTAGTTTTTAAAAATCTCCAAAAAATAAGATTTTTTTAAAAAATACTTAAATATTCACAAAACAATAAAAAATTCAATTTACACTTTTTTCACGTTTTATAAAAAATTTCACCAATCTTAAAAATTCAAATCACACAAAACATCTCAAACAAAACTTTCTAAAATATAAATAATAATTTCCATAATCACAAAAGACGATTACTGCTGTCGATTATTACTTTAAATCAAATTTGTGCCTCTTTAAAATGTGTCCTAAACATAAGAAGATTTTGGACCTCGCCTACACAATTATGCTCAACATTTGCATTGTTCGATCACGTCTTGTCACTTCCTCCAGCATCAATTCTTATCAAATATGGTCAAATGAGTTTCTATGCTTCATAATCGTCTTTGTTTATTATTTTATTGAATTTTGGATCGTCCATGCTCGTGCATTAAATGAGATTTGATGTTTGTTGGACATATTTGAGGGGTTATGGATGTGTCTTTATGCTGTATGTGATCATTATTAGGTGATGAAGTTTCTAATTTACTTGAGTTACTTGAAAAATTCAAAAAAAGGTTTAAATTGTTTGAATTTTATGATTTTTTTTCTATTTTTTGAATTTTTTGAATTTTTTGTTTTTTTGATTTATTTTTGAATTTTATGATATTTTTATCTTTTAAATTTTTTTGAGGTTTTTAAATAGTTTTGTTTCTTTTTGCTGTATTTTTGAAATTTCTTATTTTTTTTATTTTTGGAATTTTTGGAATTTTTCTGTATTTTTTATGTTTTTTGACTTTTTTGATTTCTTTAATTAATTTTGAATTTTTCAATAATTTTCCGAATGTTTTGAATTTTTTGTCTTTTTGATTTATTTTTGAATTTTATGATATTTTTATCTTTTAAATTTTTTTGAGGTTTTTAAATAGTTTTGTTTCTTTTTGCTGTATTTTAAATTTCTTATTTTTTTTATTTTTTGAATTTTTTGAATTTTTCTGTATTTTTCATTTTTTTTTTGACTTTTTTGATTTCTTTAATTAATTTTGAATTTTTATTAATTTTTTGTTATTATTATTATTATTTTTGAATTTTTTGTTCCTTTTTGATTTTTTTTTGAATTTTATGATTTTTTATCTTTTACATTTTTTTAGGTTTTGAATAGTTTTATTTATTTTTGCTGTATTTTTTAAATTTCTGATTTTTATTTAATTATTTTTGAATTTTGAAAAACATTTCAATTTTAAATATGAATTAAAGTTTCATTTAAAATTCAGCAATATTTTAAATTAATTAAATGAAAATAAAAAATAAAAAAACCCAAAATAAGCACCAACAAAAAGACGAAGAAGCCCAAAAAAGAGACTCAAAAAGACAGGCAGCAGTGAGTCTTAAAAGCAGCAGCATGAAAAAAGGCAATTAATATTTTTTAAAATTTAAATTTCAATATTTTCATTCTCAAAAGCACCGTGCTGCTCCCGTGCGATACAAAACAACCACCAACTGTGCGCGACAATCATTTTTATTATTATTTTTTTTTTTTTGATAAAAGTTATCCAATGATTCTTGATGTATCGACTTAAAAACGGCGGGATTTGATAAAAGTTAAATAAAATTGAAATTTTTATTTGATGATTTTCGAAGAATTTTATTTTTTTGGATTTTTGATTGACAAAATGTGAATTTGTTGTTTTTGTTTCGTGTATTTTTTGATGGATTTTCTTTTGAACTGTCTTGTTTGATATTTGATTGACGGATTGGATGTTTTCAAAAGAATTTCAAGTTATTCATCAAAAAATTTAAATCATTTCATTTAAAATTAAGAAACTTAAGTCTTAAAAATAGTCAAAATTCAAACTAATCCTTAAAACAATAACCGACTTAAAAAAAAGAAGAATTTACAACAATCTTGCCGTGACCAGGATTCGAACCTGGGTTACTACGGCCACAACGTAGGGTCCTAACCACTAGACGATCACGGCTTTGCTATTGATCTGCAATTTTGTTGCTTTTCATTTCTGAAATAATGCTTAATTTCAACTACTCATGCTCCGGAATCGACAAATTCGTTCAGCTTGAGCTGGTTTAAAGAGATTTTGTTGTTGCTGTTGGTCTTGTTGAGCTTGTTTCTTTTTTTTTGTTATTAGAAAGTAATTGGAACGGTTGAGATTGAGTCTGATGAAGAAATTGGTTTAAAAAAGAGAAATGTTGAAAGTGATTTTATGGAATTTTGCGAAAATGAAACGAAATTGAAAATGGAACGCTTGGTAAGATTGTGATTGTGTATCAGCTTGATGGTCCAGGATATTTAATTGTTCTAAACTAGTCCTGAATAGCAAACGGCTAAGAAAAGTCGCAAAATTAAAACATAATGTCATCCAAAGTCTATTGTGGAGCCTGATTTCATCGAATATGGCTCCAAACTAGCTATACCTTATGTTGGTCGTTACTTTTTGGCAAACAAGCATATCCCAAAAGGCACAAGTGAGGTAATTAATCAAAATTTCGGCTTCAAGCCTGGAATGGTGCTGGCTTCAATTTAAAACCAGCACAATGCGAAAGTCACCACGGATTAGTGCCAGATTTCTGATTGATTAACAGACTTGTGCCTTTCAGGATATGCTTATTTCACAAAAAGAAATGACCAACATAAGGTATGGCTAGTGTGGAGCCAGATTTAAATTAAATCAGACTTCACAATAGAAAAAGTTCAATTAAACGACTTACACTATTCGGGTATTGTCTGTTTGTCTGGTTGGTTTTTTATTGTTCATTTATGTGGTTCTTTGGCTGGTTGGCTGGCTGCTAGACTGACTTAAAAGTTGCCAGATTTAACACTGATTAGGAATGAACCAGCAATCTTAAGGAGTGTTTCAAAATTTCTTTATTTATTTCCCCAATTTGTAATGCTCATTGAACAAAATTAATTTATTCGATGCCTAGCGACACCGAAGCTCACAATTCCATTATTCAGTCCAAATCAATCATTAATAAATTAGATTCATACCCAAAAAAAAAATTATTTCCAATTTTTCCTCACCGTTTCACCCAAAATTCAAACCATCTGTTGTTGCATCGCATCCACCCCAGCATCACATCTTTAATGTTCTGAGGCGTATGATACCTAGAAAGATAGGATTAGCATCTTGGCAACAACAACAATGTGAAAATATATTTCTCATTCCCACTCCCACACGATGCACGCCGTTCAGTGCCTTTTGTTCCAAAAATAATAATAATTTTCATCCCCGTTTTTTGCTTATTTGTGGCAGAACAAGTTGAATTTACACGTCGTTGTTGTACTACTCGGACCCTTACATATGCGAATCACATATATAGCACATATTGTGTATGGATTTTAAGAGATCGAAAGTGTGAGTGTTTTGTGAATAGAGCATTTAACCATCATCATGGGAATTTAATTTCATTTTCAAGGCATGGAATGGGAATTAAAGACGAGATTGAAAGTGAGAATTGAATGATTGGAGTGGGGTATGGGATAGGGTATGGGATAGGGTATGGGATAGGGTATGGGATAGGGTATGGGATAGGGTATGGGATAGGGTATGGGATAGGGTATGGGATAGGGTATGGGATAGGGTATGGGATAGGGTATGGGATAGGGTATGGGATAGGGTATGGGATAGGGTATGGGATAGGGTATGGGATAGGGTATGGGATAGGGTATGGGATAGGGTATGGGATAGGGTATGGGATAGGGTATGGGATAGGGTATGGGATAGGGTATGGGATAGGGTATGGGATAGGGTATGGGATAGGGTATGGGATAGGGTATGGGATAGGGTATGGGATAGGGTATGGGATAGGGTATGGGATAGGGTATGGGATAGGGTATGGGATAGGGTATGGGATAGGGTATGGGGTAGGGTATGGGGTAGGGTATGGGATAGGGTATGGGATAGGGTATGGGATACGGTATGCGATAGGGTATGCGATAGGGTATGGGATAGGGTATGGGATAGGGTATGGGATAGGGTATGGGATAGGGTATGGGATAGGGTATGGGATAGGGTATGGGATAGGGTATGGGATAGGGTATGGGATAGGGTATGGGA